ATATATATATCTGGTTATGATTATTACACTTATGCACTCCTTCATCCCCAGGTTAACAGAAGATCATCTTAAACGACGTCGGCTATCCAAAGAAAAACATACTATGGGCATAACGCAGGTAAAATCAGCTTATGCTCGAAGAGCCTAGCATCTCCAGTAATCTTCAAAAACGCATTGCCCTGATATCAAACGTATTGTTCTTTGAAGACCTGCAATTCACCACCATTGTAATGGGTTTTAGCGACAGATATTAAACATTTGCAATAATTTATACAGAAGTACTACGAAATGCATATTACAAAAAAGATCAAAATGTCCTGGAAATTACGTTCATTCCAGAATATACATTATTGCCGGTCGAACACTACAATTATATTCAATACAATATAACCGTTTAAATGCGCTCCTGAGTACTGTTTAGTAACTTTTATAATTATCTATTTCTTGAAATTATAACTCTCTCCACAGACGAGTCCAACGAATTAGGCTAATAAAATCCTATTCCGTTTTGGCAGCTTTTATTTTTGCTTTAGAAGAGCGCAGGCTATATGTACGGGTATTATACATACTTTGCTCCATGGACTCGAATCACAATTCACGTATGCTCTCACCTATTGAATTTTTTTACTTAGGTCAGGTTGTTTGACTTGTATTCAAGGTTCGACAAATTTGTGGGCTAAATAGAGTGTATATTGATTGGTTCTCTTACCTAAAATTGTATTTACGTCTGCATACTTGCTTCGCCTGCGATCGGGCAACGTTGGACTTGCAGTGAATTTTTCTAGAAGCTCTATGATTAAAAAGAGTACGTTCTCAGTTTGGAAGTTCGCTGAGCATTGGTACTTCCTTCTAAACTTTGGTGCTTATTTCAATTTTACCCTATATGTGTAGATTAACGATTAAAAACCTCCTATATTTTAAAAAATAGTTGAACGACAGTAAAAAAAACTAAGTCGACTGAGATTTCGGAATAGACATACCTGTTTCGCACTGAAGGTCAGCCGTCTGATGCAATGCTGACTGCAATTGCGAGCGTTAACTCAACACGTTTATTTTTAGGTCAGAATATCAAAAGTAATACAGGAAGTTTTTAGCGTCGAACTTAAACATAAATCAGTACGGCTGATCCTTCAGTAAACATTTGAAAGCAATAACCAACATTGATGTCGACGGTCGGTCAAATACGAAAATAAACCAAAGCGCTGCTTGGAACGCTTTATCTGGATTTCAACTGTACTTAGTCACGTATTCTTCTACTACGGAAAAGCTTCCGTTCATTGCGCTCATTGTTTTTCCATTAAATTTATAAAAATTTCTCACCGATCTTTTCATTTCCCATAAATCTAGAGAGTGCAACTGGAAGACATGGACATAAAAAAGCACAGATGGCAAGGCCTTAATTTTTAGGATCATTTATAATTATCAAACGTCTTCTTTAAATATTCTTCTTAATGCCATCAAGGCGTTAGGCTGATTAAAGAAAGACTCCTTTACTTAAGCAACGTAGATAGAATCTTGAAAATAATCCGTGATTCCTGTAAATTTGATTCTTAGGTAGAACAGCATGTCATGGTTCAAAGGTTGACCGTAGAAAGTGCCTAGTGCAGTGTGACTATCTGGTAATGCTCGCGAGCAATATATACCCTATATAGTTGTGTAGCAGCGGGATATCCAATGAGAGAAAACCTATTCTAAATACAACTGACAACAGAACGTAATCAAATATCAAGGTTAGATAATGCACACAAAATATAGCGGGTCACTGACTAGTGATGTTTAGAAACAATGAGCAGAGAGATTTGACAACTTGTACCCTGGGAAGAGATATACACACTCAGATATTTGACTAACTTTACGGAAGACTGAAACAAGCCTTATTTAAAATGTCTTAAACCGGGAAAGCAGCGTAAACTAAACAATGCAAAAATAAGTTTAGTTCCGTCCGATAAGAGTATTCATACGCAAAAGCCTTGATCTATCATGAGAGCAGCGGGGGAAACCCTCTAGGAATTCGTTGCTTTGCATGTGGGTCAACCACCTGTGCAAAGGGACGGCTTTATTTATTTATCAAGAAGAAAAAATATATGACGCGGTGACCAGAAAAAGCTCCAGGATTAATTTTGTTTTTATTACCCAGTTATAGTTTTGATATTTTTATTGCCCGGCCAGACAGCATTGAATGTACTTTACTGCTGAGCCTGCTTAGACACTAGCTTTCAGCCCTACTGTATATCATTTCTAACGATTTACATAAGCTGTCACTACGAAATTAAACATATGTCCTTGTACACGCCATACTAGTGGTAGCTATGCTACCTTCTTGGCTAAATGCGGCGGCAATGGCTTTACATATATATATATATAGTGGCGAGCAAAAGCGTAGCTGTTTAAAATTGTTGCTATCATTACAAAACGTGCGCTCCTGAGACTATACATTTGCACGTACCAATGCGCCATCTCGGAGACTGTCTGCTTCTAAAAGCCCGCCTCGAGTCTGAATCTGCTCACTCATTGACTATGATTTATTGATAATCACTAAATTTGTCAACGGCAGTTGTTCTCGTCTCAATGTACGCGAATGACATTGGAAAAAAACAGCGTTTTCCACCGTTCATTCCAGGATCCTAATGTATCTGGAAAAGTTTTTCTACAAGCCTTTAATAAATAACACGTTGACGTCACACACCCGGAGAAAGCGTACTTACGGTAAATATACCTTCACATCCGATCACAGTTTTATAATTATGCATATGCTTTAGGAAACGTTTTTCGTAAAGTACGCTCAATCTTGCATGATCTCCATTACAAGCAGTACATCTTGCCAAGTGTGACAAGTGGGCTGCGAGCTCGATTTCAGAGTGATTTCTATGGCCAATTATTTTAATTCCAGAATCTTATACCTTACCTAATGGAGACAAAAGGTATATACGTATTAAAGCATGTATGTATTGTTTCGAATCTCGGCATCCAAACGAATGATGAAGCAATAGATGGGCAAGAGCGGAGCATGTGTGAGTCAATCAAAAAAGCCTAGC